GAGCAAATGTTTCATTATAATCCAACCCTTCAACCTGATGATTACCGAAGACCACCAGTCGTGCCTTGTACCGTTCGATACTACCGTCGGCCTTGCGTTTGATTTTGTATACCCATTTGCTCCCCAAAGGCTTTTTGTGAGGAGGGGCACTGACTAGAGTCCAAGTCCCGTTACTCTGCAACGCATCAATTTCCGCCCGCATTGCCTTGCGCCACGCTTCGGATCGCATTGCTTCACGAAAATTTCTGGGCTCGACCTCGGAGTCGATGGCTGTGAGATAGCACTTGTGTGAAGGAGTAAATTTGTCATAATTGATGAATGCAATGAGCGGATACTTGCTGAGCGTTTGGAAGGTAGTATATGTGACATAATCCTTCAGACGGGTGTTTGGTATGCGTGCTCGTTGCCCACGACCAACTATAGGATCCGGTGTGGGTGCTGCCTCGTTGGCAGTGGTTGGTGCCTCGTCGGGTAGATGGTCCGTCAGTGCAGTACTGGTGCTGCCTCCAGTGCTGGCAGCGCTGGAGATCTCGCCCGCTGCTACGGGTGCGGTGTCTTCAGTTGCTGGAAGGGGCTCCGACGCTGGGTTGTCGGTGGCGGCGTCAAAGACCGTAGGTGCTGCAGCACCAGATCGTCTTGGGGGCCGTGTGATCAGATCCTCCTCCATTGGTAATGGGCCGTCCGACACTGGAATTGGTTGATCGGTCTCTTTATTTGAAAGGGTTAGATATGGAAAAATATTTTCCAAAAAAATAACATCACGGGAAACAATTATTTTCCCCGTGTCGGGGCAATAAATTATCCATCCCTTCTTGCCATGTGGATATCCGACAAAGATACCCGGTGTGCTTCGTGGAGCGAACTTATCACTCTCTCGTCTTCGAACATAGCATTTGCATCCAAACACACGAATGTGAGATAGGTGAGGTGGGTTCCCATGCAATTTGGAGTATGGTGAAACCCCCCCTAGGAGAGAGGACGGTGTTCGATTAATTAGGTAGGCGGCGGTTTGGATGCAATCGCCCCAAAATTCAATTGGCAGTCCAGATTGAAATCTCAGGGCGCGAGCGACATTGAGAATGTGGCGATGCTTCCGCTCAACTCGTCCGTTCTGTTGTGGAGTGTCGACACATGAGGTTTCATGAAGGATTCCTTGTTCCCTGAAGAAAGCATT